ATAGTGTCACGGATCTGCCTATGGAAAGTCACATATGTAATGCGATTGCCGACGGTCCGAATCGCAATGGCCATTACGGAGGAGTTACGCGGATCCGAGACCTTGGAGATGATATGCTCGGACAGCCGTTGTGCAAGAAGACAGGACGGCAGAGCAGAAGCACATCTTGCATTGGCCACAAAAGCCTCCGGACTTGCATCGTCCCTCATCAGGCGACAGCGGAGCATGCGACTGGCAGCTCAAAGATGCTTTGGAGTGCTGCATGGGTCTCCATCGCTGACGGGCATCACGGACGTTCACACATCGACAAACGTCGTCACTCATTGGCTCCTGGCCTGTGGCCCTAGCCTGGTCTATATATCAGTATGCGCCACAGCTGAAACTCGATACCAACTGGCAACCCGTCATCGTAAAGGCGGCGATGGAAATGGACTTTTACAACCGAGAAGAGAGCGGTCAAGGAAAGCAACGACGCCATAGCTATCGAGACCGCAAAATGGCACTTGCGCGGAGACGGTGCTTCACTAGCTTCGTCTCGGCCTGTGCCCAACGACAAACTTCGAAAGCAAGACGCAAAAAAGAGCGTTTTTCTTAGTGGTGAAGAAACTTCCACTTACTCGTGTCTCTGCAGCGGCCTTGGTCGAGTCTCGACGTCGACAAGCAAGAATTGTCGACGAGTGGATGCGTTTCAGCCGAGGTGGCTCAAAGCTGGGATGTGTGCATATCGAAATCGAGAACGAGGAAGGATTCCGCCGAGACGACTTCCGCAGGGCGGAGATGCCTCGGACATAATGGAAGCAAAAGACCGGTCAACCACAGAGGTCTCGCGTGGCTTCGGTCAGATTTCCCCGCTTGTTTCGCGAATGATCATGATGGCCAGGCTCTTGCTTGTCGTTACCTCGCGTCAGGGTGTCGCGCCTCTACAACGCGTCCTCCTCGGCAGCGGCTGAGAGTGCAGATAAGGAGCGGAGGGACCACGGTAAGATATGCTGACACTACTGCGGAACAGATGACTCAACAACTGGACAGTGCCCCGGCAGCACAACAAAGCTGGACAAATCAAAAGATCAAGAGTGATAGGATCAGACATGCTTGTTCGGGAGGAGGAGACAGACTGTACGTGGGAATCTTCTGCCTCGGAGAAAGGTGGTGTGAAGAATCGAGCTTAGCTATACAATACAGCTACTGCACAGTAACAAGTATGGCCCTGTGCCCTCCAACAAGGAATGAGCAGGCATGGGGCAAGGCATGGGCGGCAGCGATTGCGAAGATGGAGGGGAGAGCCATCGACGAAAGGATGGCCTACTGTGTAGAAACGCCTTGGCTGTTGGTTCACCCCGAATCCCCGTATGCGATTGGATCAACAGGTCACGTTCATGACCGACGCACAAGCCAAGAAAGAAATCATGGGTTCAAAAAAGACCCCACACTCATGATGGATGGACATCTGTTTCCTTTCGCATAGCATGAGCAGGGCACGGCCTTGTGGGCAGTTAACCAGGGGTTGATGGTGATGGAGGGGACGACCGGCGTGGTGGTGTACAGCAGACACCAGAGGTGCTGCTCCCTTTCCGTCCTTTTGGGATGACTTGATGCAAGCTAGGAAGCAGCAGTGCCTGCAATACTGCTGCAAGAGTAGAAGACGATGAAAGGGTTTAGAGAAACGAAACAACGGACGAAGAGGGTTGTGGCTATGGGTGGGCGAGTTTCCACACCTCCAACCAATTTATTCTCCCCGAACGAGCCGTGCCAGTCCAAATGCACGGCAACAACCGAGAGGTTGTTATCGTGGTCCACAACAAGCTGCCGGTAGTGGATATGGATGGGTGGATGGGTGATTGATGGTGCAGAGAAGCTGCTGCCTCTGCTGGTGCCTCTGCTGCATCAGCCTCGGCAGGATAACCTCTTCCAACGATGTATGAGGACACAATACAGGGAGACACGGGCCCGTGGAGGCAGAGAATATTGCCAGGGGAGGTGCGGGTAGGTGATGGCAGTCACACATCTTGAGCTGTCCTGAGCTATCCTGAGCTGCCCTTGGCTTTCTTCTTTCCCAGCCTCAACAGCGGCTCATGGCCCTTGCGTCTGGGCCTCGTCTCGGGAACGGATAGCCATGTTCCTACTCTGGATGGGTGGTGTTGAGTACATGCCTACTGTCAGCTGTGATGGGTGGCTGTCAAAGAGAGAATGCCGGCACAGCGGCACCCAATGGTCTGGGGTAGAAGACAAGTGGGAGGGCTGAAGCAGAAGAGGCCGGCGAGGGGTGCTAGGTACATAGGTAGGTGCTTTCGCCAACGTTGAGGCTTGCCGCTTATCATGCTGGGGTGGACGCCAATCGCTGCCCATTGCTATCCGTATAAGCTATTTCCTTGTATGGGGTAGGTAGTGTGTTGTCTCGGTAGCATTAGTATGTGTCTGTGAGCTCATGTTGAGCCAGTGGTGAATGTGATGGTGCTGTTCATTTCTACATCGAGGTTATCCTCTATTGCTTCCTGACGGGAATTAACAACACCAGTAAGTCAAGCCCACACAATAGATGATTATAGGGCTAAGTGACAAGCGAGCCTCGATCCGCCTATGAACTACATGCTATCGGTCTGAAGAGAATGTTGAGAAGCCATGATGATGACGGTAGATTTTGGTCCTTCTTGCTGTTGATGGCTGAACAAGGCATGCCTTGACTGAGATTGGCACCGGCCGGGGAAGGTGACTGGGGGCCGTTGCTAACGGGACGGGAGACTGGATGGACGGGGGCGGGAACGACTTACACGGCGAGGGGAGTAGGTACTCTGTACTCCCTGACTGCGTACGAAGACCGGGGCAGTGACACTACAAGTTGCAAAACCTACCTAAGGTATCCGTAGTTACACCTTACAAGGTCTGGCAGGTGGACATGGCCCGCTGTGTTTCCTTTTTGCAGTGCGGGAACTACCCTTTGGACCCTGGCTACCCGCTCGTGCAGCAGCAGCAGCAGCAGCAGCAGCGAACGCTCATCTATTCCCCCATTCCATCTTTCAGGTTCTCCCCTCCATCCCCTCTACTACAATATACTGTACCCATCCAGTGCCATCCCCTCTTCCCCCATCGAAACCCAGCTGCCAGTTCCAGTTGAAGAAGGGGGGGGGGGGGGGCCGGCCCTTTGTTCCCCCAGTTTGCGGCGTGCCTGACCATTCGCAGTTCTCACACCCCCTGAACCTCTTCTTCTTCTTCAGCCTCCTCCCATCACGCTCCCAAGCTCCCCACCTTCACCTAGGTACCTCCCCTCCCCTCCCCTTCCCGTCTTCGACCTGCCCTGCCCTGCCCTGCCTTGCCTTGCCTTGCCTTGCCTGCCCACCCCCTTCACCTTCCATGTTTCCTCCAACTGCAGAAGAGCATCTACATAGCTATGGAGATGATCTCGCCCATCACCTTTTCCTTTGTGGGAACCCATTCAGGCATGGTCGATTCCGATCTCCATCGCTTCCTGTTCGCAGACAACAGCCAGCAGCCAGTAACCAGCAGCACCAGCAGCCAATATACATCTGCGGGTGTCTAGCCGCTGTGGAGACACGGCCACCACCCTTCCCTTCACCACCACACCACCTCTTACACCACCATGAACCATCACACCCCCAGCTTAACATACTTACATATGTAAGTCATAATAGCTATGCCTCTGCCCCTCTCTTTGGCCAACCCCCGTTTAATTGTTCATGGGCAACGGTTCACATCTCCTCATGTACGCTTAGGTTGGCGGCCTGCCATGCCCTCTCCAAGTTCCCTGGTGGAGGGACGGGATATATGCATGCCTTCATCGTTTGGTGGTTTGCTTTCCTTTTTTTCCCTTTTCCTTCATCTGGGTAGTCTCTGATTCATGCTCTAGCAGGCCTACCGAGGGGACAAGAGGGGCAATCAAGACGATGTCACCCTTTCTTCCAGTACGTCCAAAACACACCGTCATCCATTCACGTCTGTGTCTCTCTTACCCTTCCAAGAGCTCCCATCTACCTTTTGCTACAACCATCAGACGCCGAAAGGGCCCTTAATGTTTCCTTCTTCATACGTCGCCTACCTCGTCTTACGGGCGGCCATGCGTAACGTAACCTAACCCTCGCCGGCGTCCGTGGTTTGTTTGATCGATCATCGCGGGACCCTCCAACCGGGTCCCGTCGCCGACTGGTGTGCCATTTTGCCAGCCAGTGGCCGGCTTCTTGGGACAGACAGCCTCGGCGGCGTTCATCAACTCTCACAGATACACGGTAACCGTACCAGTCGGAAGGACAATTCGCGGTGCAATCGACACAGCGGTACCATCGGCACTTGAACATCACGTCGCTTCTCTCGGTTGCCATGGCCAGTGTAACTAACTACCTACCTACCTATCTGCGCAATACCTTACACTGCCTTCCGGTCGACGGAATACCACCAGGACCAGGACCGACAGCGATGGACCTTGCTAGACGTTGTGTCCAGACACGCGAGAACCGCCATTGGCCCCCGTACGCTTCACCTTGGCCACTGCGTGCACCTTGGCCACTCCGTGGCGCAACATGTTTCTTTCAACGATTCCCGGTGGAGACGATTAACACATTTGTAAAACAGGTTTGGCCCAGCCCGTGACAGTCGCTTTTTTAGCTCCCGCCTCCGCACAGATGTGTGCGTGTGTGTGTCGTCGTGGATTTATGCCCCGTTCCTATTCTGTCTCGCCTTCCTCAGCTTACGGTATTTTACGACTCTTGCTCATAGCTTATTCAGACGACGAGCCGAACCTAGGGAGGTTGTTTGCTCTTGCTTTCATGCGCCTGACTCGTACACGCAATACGCTGCGAATGCGACGGGGCGTGGCCCTTGGTGTGGCTCTCGAGCCCCCTTAGACGTCAACCTCAATGTCTGCTGATGCCCAGCAACTTGATGCTGGAAGCACCAAGGCACTGCAGAAGAATAAGCTGCTTCGGCCAAGGTTTTTCAGGGTCCCACAAAGCCCACGTTTTCGAACTCTTTACCATCTGCGATGCACTGCGATGCAGGAAGAAGCCCCGAGTACCACAATCCCGGCCTCCCGGCCGAAACGATGTTTCTCTATTGTCATGACTTGGGAAAACTCTCATGGCCGAGCCGCTACAGACTCGATGAGCCCAGATTGGGTTTCTTCCTCAATTGGCCTGGCTCCGGCAATTCTTCCTTTTGGACCGATGGAAGATGGAAGATGGAAGAACAATGGACAGAGATGTGAACGGCCCAGCCTTCTGCAGCCGACGTCTCATCTCTGGTTCCTGCTGGTCAAGCAAAACCGTTTTCTCACTCACATCCTGGTGCGTTCCCGCGCCTGGCCAAGAGTTCTCGGACGCCTGCAGAAGCCAGCCTGGCCCTTGCCATGCCATGCCGCCCCCATCCCCTCCCCTTCCTTTCATGATTCTCCCCCGTAAGATCGAGGGAAGGGGACTACGGTTTCCAGCAGGATGCAACGCTGACATGAGGGCCGTTCCCGCCGTGGCCTCGCGAGCGATGCGTGCGTGCGTGCAAGTGTGCGTGCGCTCTCCCCTCCCCCTTGGCCGCCTGGGCCACGGAACCGGGGCGGCCGATCCAAGCAGGGCAACCTGACCTGACATGGCGTGGCAAAAGCGGCCAGAGGCCGCTTAGAGTCCCTGTAACCGTAGCCCTTTTCTTCGTTCTTTCGTGATTCCTTCCTGTAGATCATATCATGGGCGAAGTAAGGTAAGCCCATTTGATGATTGATAACCAAACACGGAATATCAGTAAGCAAAGGCTTTTAGAATCCCGGTCTTCGCGCCGCTCTGATCCCTCGATTAATCGGTTTTCTGTTACGGATTTTATTCCCGGCAGCACACATACACACACCCCTCCCACGAGTTGGATTCTTTTTTCGAGGAAAAGGGAAAACGTCAAGTTTGAGGCGGCACACACTCTCCGAGCACATACACACACACACAAACATCCACATACTTACAACCACACAAACACGAAAGACCAAGCACAAGGGGGCGTGTCTACGAAACAGGTTGGTTTGTTTCCCGATTGATGGGACGAAGTAATCCCATTCATCGCTTCCTTCATCGTTCTTATTTTTGGATATTGTAGCTTCTTATTCTTCTTTTCCCCCTCCTCTCCTCTGTATAACCAGCGAGAAAGGGTCAAAGTTACACAAGCTTTATTTTATTTTATTTTGCTTTTATTTTTTTTCTCCCTCTTCCCGCCGTGGCGCCCGCCGTGGCGCCCGCCGTGACGGAACTGGGGGCGCGCAACGTAAAGAGACAGAGACTCGGGAACGACGCCGTGCGACCATGCTCGTCGGGGAAGACAAGAGACGACGCCGACGACGACAGAGGATCACACGGGGGAGCCGGGTAGCTTTGGACCCAGCGGGATTGCTTTCTTATCTAGGTAGTCGGCAGCTGAATCTTAACTCTACGTGCTTCTCGTGGGCATCTCCAAGTACAGCGATGCTTGAGTACGAGAGATTCGGCTCGGCGGCTCATCGTATCTCTTTTTCACAATACCCATCCGTCGGTCGACAGAAGGGAGAACGCGGCGCGCCATGGTGAGCCACCATGACAAGCCATTGAATAATCGAAGAGTGCCCGTATACGAGATTCCCTTGGTGACTTGACTCTCCTCGGGCCAGCCTCATCCGAGTCCCGCGTCGACTAGCACAAAGATTTTGCTTCCCGATGAGGCTGTCGGCGAGGACAAGACAGCCCTCCTTAAATTAATGGTGACAACACGGGTTGGCAAGCCTGTCGCGTCCAGCTGCTGTCGAGAGGTGCGGACCACGATATTGATCTTGGGGTGCACCGCATGATGCGTCGTTCGGAAACGAAAGTCTGCGGTACGTACCTACCTTGGGTACACCAGAACTGAGGTGTCACGTCTGCCCGGTGAGGTGGTGACGGGAGGTGATGCAATGACGCTGATGGTTTCATTATCGATAAGAGATAGGAAGAACGGACGTTCTCGATAAGGAACCGTTCAAGCGCCACAGGCTTCCTGATTCGTTTGTCAGCCGCCCCACGGTGACCGCGCCTCACCTCACTTCAATTTTCATCATCAAAGAGTGCCCAGCCCAGTGTGAAGGGGCGGCGAAATAAATAAATTCAAAGAAAATTCATCGCCATCGTCGCTAACTCATTTTTTCGACAAAAAGGCGACTGAGAAATCGAAAAGTCAGAAAAAATGACGAGTCTTAAGCGTTCGTTCGAGACGGACCCTTTCGCCGCCAATATCTCGAGCAAGGTCTACGTCCGTTCGACGAGAAAGGGCAAGGTTCAGAAGATTGTGAGGGAGGTTTACCTGCGTCAAGATATCCCCTGCTCGTCAAAGCTGTGCCGAGTCTGTCTGCAGACGGCGCCCAGAGATGCAGCCAACAATGGTGACTTTACCCCATTTTCGATTTACCGCACGAACATGACAACTAAACAATGCCTCCCAGTTCAACCCTTCGTCCTCTCCGACAAGCCGGCGGGGACAAAGGCGTTCCCCCAGGGGCACTACATCGTCCCCGACACCAACGCGTTGTTGAACGCCATGGACCTCTTTGAGCAGAGCTCGGCTTTCTACGACGTTGTCATTCTGCAGACGGTGCTCGAGGAGCTGCGCAACCGCTCGCTGCCCCTGTACAACCGCCTCGTCGGTCTCACAAAGAGCGAGGACAAGCGCTTCTACGTCTTCTTCAACGACTTCCGTCTCGAAACGTACGTCAACCGGGAGTCCAACGAGACGGTAAATGACCGCAACGACCGCGCCGTACGCAAGGCGGTGAAGTGGTACGCCGACCACCTGGCGCAGACAAAGGCCAAGACGGTGCCCGCCGTCGTGATGCTGAGCGACGACCAGGACTGCCTGAGGAAGGCCAAGACCGAAGGTGTCGCAGCCATGTCACTCTCCGAGTACGTCGGCGGTCTCGAGGATGGCGAGAGGTTGCTGGACATGATTGCCGAGTCGCGGAACTCGAGCTTTTCCAAGAAGCCCGCCGGCCCGATCTACCCGGAATACTTCACCATGTCGAAGCTGATGACCGGCGTCAAGGCCGGTCTTCTTCACCAGGGCATCTTCAATGTCTCGCCGTACAACTACCTGGAGGGTTCCATTCACGTACCCGCATTCCCCAAGCCTCTCATCGTCCTCGGCAGAGAGAACATCAACCGGGCCGTAAGCGGCGATGTAGTCGTGGTTGAGGTTCTGCCAAAGGACCAGTGGAAGGAGCCGTCGACCAAGATCATCGAGGAAGAGGCGGTCACGCGCGACGAGAACGCCGAGGGGGAGGAAGCGCAGGACTTTGTCTCGGAAAAGGAGCGCAAGGCACTACAGGAGGAGGTGAAGAAGACGCATAAGAACAGCACCGAAGGCCGGCCGCAACCGACGGCAAAGGTCGTCGGCGTCATCAAGCGTAACTGGCGGCAGTATGTCGGACATATTGACCCTTCGTCTGCGAGCAAGAGCGGCGGCCAGGGCCGCAAGTCGGACAATGTTTTCCTCATCCCCATGGACAAGCGCATTCCCAAGATCAAGCTGCGCTCGAGACAGGTCTCCGAGCTTCTCGGCAAGCGCTTGTTGGTCACGATTGACGCTTGGGACCGCGATTCCCGGCACCCCGTGGGCCACTTTGTGCGTTCGCTTGGTGAGCTCGAGACCAAGGCCGCGGAGACGGAGGCCCTCCTGCTGGAGTACGACGTGCAATACCGTCCCTTCCCCAAGACGGTGCTCGACTGTCTGCCAAAGGAGGGCCACGACTGGAGAGTACCACAGAGCCTGGAAGATCCCGGCTGGAGGGACAGAGAGGATCTCCGCAAGCTCCTCATCTGCAGTATCGACCCCATCGGCTGCCAGGATATCGACGACGCTCTCCACGCAAGGCCTCTCCCCAACGGAAACTTTGAGGTTGGCGTCCACATCGCCGACGTCTCCCACTTTGTCAAGCCCGCCAATGCCATGGACACGGAGGCCAGCTTGCGAGGCACCACCGTGTACCTAGTCGACAAGAGAATCGATATGTTGCCGATGCTTCTCGGTACCGACCTGTGCTCGCTGAAGCCCTACGTCGAGCGTTACGCCTTCTCCTGTATCTGGGAGATGAATGCCAACGCAGACGTCGTCGGCGCCCGCTTCACCAAATCCGTCATCCAGTCAAAGGAGGCATTCAGCTACGAGGCGGCCCAGCTGCGCGTCGACGACGCCTCGCAGCAGGACGACCTCACCAACAGCATCCGAACGCTCATGATGCTGTCCAAGAAGCTGAAGCAGAAGCGCATGGACGCCGGCGCCCTCAGCCTGTCCTCCCCCGAGGTCAAGGTGCAGATGGAGTCGGAGACGTCGGATCCCATCGACGTCAAGACGAAGCAGCACCTCGACACAATGTCCCTCGTCGAGGAGTTCATGCTCCTCGCCAACGTCAGCGTCGCCGCCAAAATCTACGAGGCGTTTCCCCAGACCGCCATCCTCCGCCGCCACGGCGCCCCGCCAAAGACAAACTTTGACGAGCTCTCGAACCAGCTGCGCGTCAAAAAGGGCCTCGAGCTCCGCGTCGACTCGAGCAAGGCGCTCGCCGACTCCCTCGACACCTGCGTCGACCCCGTCGACCCCTTCTTCAACACCCTAGTCCGCATCATGGCCTCCCGCTGCATGATGTCCGCCGAGTACTTTTGCTCGGGCACCCAGGCCTACCCGGAATTCCGCCACTACGGTCTCGCCTCGGAAATCTACACGCACTTCACCTCCCCCATCCGCCGGTACGCCGACCTCGTCGCCCACCGCCAGCTCGCCGCCGCCATCGGCTACGAGGCCATCCACCCGGCCGTCCGCAGCCGCGGCCGCCTCGAGGCCGTCTGCAAGAACATCAACGTCCGCCACCGCAACGCCCAGCTCGCCGGCCGCGCCAGCATCGCCTACTACGTCGGCCAGGCCCTCAAGGGCCGCGTCGCCGAGGAGGAGGCCTTTGTCATGAAGATCTTCAGCAACGGTTTCGTCGTGCTGGTCCCGCGGTTCGGTATCGAGGGCCTGATTCGGCTGCGGGACCTCGCGGAACCCGAGCCCGAGAGTGCCTTTGACGCGGAGAATTATGTGCTTACCACGAGCGGGAGCAAGGAGCTGCGGGTGGAGCTGTTCCAAAAGGTCAAGGTCAAGGTTACGGATGAGAAGGATGAGATGACGGGTAAGAGAGGTGTCAAGATGGAGCTTGTTAGCGTTTGAGGGGGGCGCTGTGATGTGGGAATGAAAATACGGAATTCTTGCGTGTTTTGAGATGTTGAAGTAGAAAGATGGCCAAAATTTAGCCAACCTAAAAGTTCAGAAATGAACGCGTTTACCTATGCCTACTCACGGTTTGCAAAATCTGTTATGTGAAATGGGAATAGAACGTGTCTTTACGCAGTTCCCATGCTTCGATCCTGTGTTTACAAGGAAGCAGCACCCTTCAATATCACAAGTTTTGGAGCCCAGCATGACACCGCACCAAGATAGTATCAGACGTGACCTATCTAGAGTATCGTACACAGACTGTGGAGACGCATTTCATTCATCATCAAACCCATCCCGCGTCCATCTTCGCCTCAACCTCGTATACTAGACATCCGGTCACAGATATGAACACACCAAACCCGAACCCTCGAAAGACGAATAGCATGCTCAGCGAGCCTGACGGACAGGCCTATGAACCTGGTCCCACAAAGAACACTTCCGGAGCAAAGACCTAAGATCTCCCTGTGTCTCCGGATCGACAGGCAACTTGGACACGAGGTCCCGTCCGTAATCGAAGTCGAGCCACGGCTGATGGGCTTTGCGGTCGTGAATCATGCGCAACACAAACTCCTGCGTCCACACCGAGGGCGCCCAGACCAGCTCCTCTAGGCCCTGGCCCATAGCTTCCTTGACAAACTCGATCCACGGCTTCCTCGACCGGATCGCGGGCTTGTTCCTCCTGCGCACGACCATGATTGTCACGCGCTGCTGCAAGCTCATGTGCGGCAGGTCTGGGCAGTCGTCGAGGACGTGAAGCTTCGTGTTATGGATCGGACATCCCATGATGGTGCCGTTGTCGTCGGGAAAGACGCAGTCGCCGAGCCAATGTCCGGCGTGGCCGCAGTTGGAGCAGGTGTTGTTAGGGTCAAAGCGATCACCGTACAGGAATTGCGAGGTAGTAATTTGGTTCTGGGTCTGCTCCTCGCTTGTCATCTTCACTTTGCCATGAAAGGGCGGCTTGTGGCGGCGGATGTCGGTGTCGTGGTAGACCTTGTTTCGCTTCTGACCAGCGCTGCTCAGGCGTTGGGCAGCTTTCGAATTCGCTGCGGGAGCCACGGGAGCGTTAGGCGGCGCCGATCTCGCTTCGTCTTGGGAGTTTCTGTCGTGTGGCCTTTGCTGTGTATGGTGGGCACGATTGGCGTTGTATCTACTACTGGAGGTGCCTCGGAATGATTTCGTAGAGGAACCTTGGTGATACCCCCCCCTCTGGATACCCGACTGGGAAGCAACGGATCGCTGTGTATCTCTATGGGTGTCGTTACGATGGTCACGGCCAAAGGAGCCTACGTGATCGGAGCGGTTTTCGTTCCAACCAGCCCGGTCGATGGAGCTGCTTCGATGTCTGGAGGGAGGCCTGACGAGTTGCTCGTCACGATCAGGGTGCATGCCGTGCTGATACTCGAGCTTCTGAGGATCAGAGTAGGACCCTGACTTGAAGTCGTTGAGGTTGGGTCGCACAGGCGAGTATGGCGCGCCTTGACATTCTCGATCAGAAGACCTCTCTAACATCGACAGCTTTTCCTTCAGCTTCTGAATCTCCACACTGCGCTCTTGGTCGTTCATTTGGATTGATTCGCTCCCAGACGTGTTGTATTCCGTTACCAGGCTCTGTGACGGTCTAATGTCGTGAGATTGCATCGGTATGGTGCCATGTGGAACATTATTCGGCTTGGGTCTCTTGACCGGGTTGCTGTCTCTTTCCTCCTCGGTTCGGGATCGTCGACCGTCATCAAACCCGTAGTTCAAAGCGTTAGAGCTTGAACTGGAAGGTCTGGATCTCTTCATTTGGAGAGATTGTTCGACGTGGTCGTGGCAGGGACAACACTTTGAAGGTAGGCCGCTGCGATCGGTATGACACGCAAAGCGTGTCAGACAAGAGAGCTTCTGGCGCGCACGTAGGCGGAGACCTTTCGATCTTTTTGTGTGTAGCGCTTTGAAAACCTCGACCAGTGTGCTGTTGATGTGCGAATGGAAAAAAACGTGATGTTTTGAGGTGAAGGGAGTGAAGTGCAGGATAGGGGCGTTTGCAGGTAGGAGGAAAATGGGGACGACCTCACCGACCTCTGGCATCCACGCGTCACGTGGGTACGTACTCAGAGTGAATTACAATAAGGCAAGGTCCACTATGTAGGTAGGTCCCGAGCATGATTCACCTCCTTCGGGAAGGGGCGTTTGATAGAGAAGGCAGCCCAGGCAATGCAGAAGTCACCTACCTACTTATCTGACCGCATCTGCCCAGGTCATGAACATGGTCTCAACAACTGCCTACGACGTGATCTCGCGTGCGAGCGAATGAGATCAAATTTCTTATCACTTCCGAACGTAGCTCTACCATGCGTGATTCAGGTTAGGGAGTAGGTGGGACTATGCTGCTACATCGACCTACCATGGATTGATCTGAACACAATATACTAGATTCTTGATATGAATGAAACAGCCTTTACGAAAAATTAGTATTCCAATTCACCGAAGTCAGTAGAATTATCAGGGATATGAAGTAACCTGAAGTTCCGTACAAGACGAGGGCGCCTTTGGTAAACAGTTCTGCCATGTACATAGTTGACATAGTAAAGCGAGCGTTTCATGAAATAACGGCCATAGAACACTTTGTTTTCTCTTATAAGGGACATAACTAAACGAAGAAGTTCTATCTTTCTGAGTTCCCACACGAATAGTCTGGGAAGTAGTACTAGATTTAAATAGAGCTTTATTAGTCTTGACAGCCTCGTTCTATTACCTTCACTACCATTATCACTACCACGACTGGCATTATAATCGATGTCAGTCAGTAGTCCTTCGAGTATATTCGTTATATAATATCTATGAAATAGCGACAAAGAAAGAGAAAGTTATAATACACACTGTAAGGTAGTGAGCGGATTATTTTATCATCCACTTGTCCGAACCTGCCTTCTCCTGGGCGAGTGTCCCACACCACTCAGTGAATGCATTACCAAAGGGGGGGCATGTGCCTCGGGCGTCCCTTCCTACAATATTCAGCCTTTACCTTCACCACCTTCTTCTTCCCCACAACCCACCCAAACCAACTTCCGAATTACACAACCATCAAAGTCAATCTCCTTACCAGGTTTGCCCTTCCAAAGTGCACCTTCTTTCGGCTGGTTTACTGACGTTTCCTTCATCCGTGGAGTGACTCAAGATGGAAGGTAACGGCGTCCCTGCCGCGGAGGCGTCCTCTCAACCACCGGCCAAGCGAGTCAAACTGTCGTCACCCGCTTCCGACAACACCAAGCCTGTCTTCGGACGCCTCGGAGTCATCTTGAACACTGAAGACGCTGGAGACATCACCGTCAATATCAGCAACACCAGACGCCTTGGCAAGCCCGTGATAGACCATCTCTCAGAAGAAACTTTCGCTTTTCATGGATCTCGCCAGCAGGCCCATGCTATACTCGACAGAATTCTGGACCACAGCGAGAATACGATCATCATGGGCATTGTGAGCCTTCAACCAGATATCAGCGAGGCGACACCGCAATCAAAGGCGCCGGCGACTGTCCAGGCTGTGGATGTGACAGGTGCGGCATCTGAGAACTCGACAGTACCGAAGCGGAAGACACCTATGAAGCAGAGGCCGGCTACGTCTATTGCCATGGAGAAAACAGCACCTGCCGGTGAGAGGCCGTTGGCACCTACGGCCACACACCAGTCTCGGCAGACATCCAATGTCGCCGACAACCCCAAGCCATTCGCGCCGCAGAATTCATCGCTTGTTCTTTCTCAGGGTCATCTGGAGACTGCGTACAGAGTCTGGACGACATGCGGACGGCGGACCACAAAGTTACAGACCCTGCTAAGGAAATTCCCTGAAAATGACCGCCCAAATCCCTCGGTGGAGTGCATGGTACTTCAGAAGTTAGCTGGAAAGACGCCAGACATGATGGTTGGCGAACTTGAAGACATTGTACATTCTTATATGCTTACAGTCTTCAAGCACAACTTGCGGAGGAGAGTTCCCCGGTTAGGAAAAGACTGGATGCATTTCCGGATCCTGAGGCGACTGTGGTTTTACCCTGGTAAGTGATCCGATTATCCTGTCAGCCCATCTATCAGCGAAGTCAGTGCTTGCTGACAATCAGATTGCTGGGATATTTTAGATGTAGGTGAAGACGTCGACTTCCCGTGGGCTGAGATGGCTCCCAATTCTTCCGCCGGCTGCCCTAGCTCAGCTTACGCGACATTTAAAGAGCACAATGGAGTTGGGATCGAGTCGAAGTTCTCAATCTTCGACTAAGACGGGGAGAGACTAGTATTGAAATAGCTATGATGTTCAGCAAGTCAACCACCAAGCGCAAATTTCTCAACCGCTGAGCTGTGATTCGGCATTGCATCATGGCCGTTTGTGGATCGCCATCTGATTGCACACAACCAAATATCGTTGGGCGGATGGAAAGCAGGAGGTCACTCGGGATGACAGAATCGTCTATAATCCTATAAGGACCAAATCAAATGAATGCAAGGGACATTCCGGATGAAAGTGTATGTGCAGATTTGAATGAGGACAACGGGCTGAATCGTCATTCTTTACTTTTTATTTTTCCCTTGGACCGCCCCAAAAACGCCATGTGAAACAAAATGAGGAATCTAACAGCCAGCCAGGCTCTTCATGAGGGAGTTAAAACCCAAGAAATGGGACCACAACATCTCCTCCACTTTCTCTTTTGATATCATGTACTCCCCTCTCCTCCTCTCACTACGTTCTCTCCATTACTATACTGCACCACCCCCTATTGCTCCATCGCCTCGTCCTCATCGCCAGCAGCAGCAAGACCACTGAACAAATCACCGAGGTCAAACTCCTTGGCCCACTCCGTGACAATAGTCTTCTGATCCGCGGCAGCAACGTCGTCAGCCACGGGAGCAGCAGGCGCGGCGCCCTGGGCATCGCTCTGGACAGCGAGGACAGGCGCCTCGACCCAGCCCTGGATGCGGCCGTCGCGCCAGTCCGTGACGACGGTCATGGCGGCGGCGTTGATGTTGGGGATACCGCCGCGTCCCAGACGGCCGCGCTTCCGCGCGACCTGCACCAGGAAATCGGTCGTGATGTCGCCGTCGGCGCGGCTGGGCAGCAGCGTCGGCAGGTCGTAGGCGTCCGTCAGCTTCTGCAGCAGGTCGGGGGAGGCGGCGAGGCGGCGGAGGAGGAGGGTGACGGCCGGGATGGGGTCCTCGATGTTCTTGGGCGGGACGGCGTTGAGGAGGACGAGGTGGGCGTGGGCGTCTGTCGCGTTCTTGAGGGAGACGAGGCCCGACGTGGAGGCGTTCTTGGCGGAGGGGAAGACGATACCGGGGGAGTCGAGGAGGGTGAGCTTGCTGTCGATCTTGACGGCGCGGATGCTCGTGGTGACGCCGGCCTCTGCGCCGGCGGGGCAGGCCTTTGAGGCGCCGCGGCCGCCGGAGAGACGGCCGAGGAGGGCGTTGATGACGGAGGACTTGCCGACGTTGGGGTAGCCGATGACGCCGACGGAGACGGCGCGCTTGAGCTGCTTGCTGGCGGCGTAGGACTTGAGGGCGCGGAAGAGGTCGGACGACGTCTTTTGGACGGTGAGCTCCTTGTGGTTAAAGGTATGGGCGTTGGGCGCCGGGTTGGAGGCGCGCAGGGGCAGGGTCGGGAAGGAGCGGCGGAGGTGGATGAGCCAGTCCTTGAGAACCTTGGGGGGCACGAGATCGATCTTGTTGACGACGAGGATGAGGCGCTTGCCGCCGCTGGCGGCGGCCATGACGCTGCGCTCGACGTCGCGGGAGCGGGTTGATTCCGGGTCGCGGGCGTCGAGGACGTAGAGGATGACGTCGGCCTGCTCGACGACGTTCTTGAAGACCTTGTCAAAGGCCTTGCGGGAGGTGGCGTTGCCGACGGGGATCTCGGCGGGCGCGTCAGAGTCGTCGCCCGGGTCGTCGTCCGAGTCCATCTCGTCGTCATCGTCGTCGCGCAACTCCTTTTCGTACGTCTCGGCGGCGGCCCTCGCGCTGCGCAGGAGAGCGGCCATGGGGTTCGAGTCGTCGCCGTCGTCCTCCTCATCGTCGTCCTCGACCATCATGTCGTCGTCGGCCACGTCGACCTGCTGGCCGGTCGCGCCGGCGACGGTGGCGCCCGTCTTGGCGGCCTTTGCCATTTCGCGACGCTTCTGGTTCTCCTCCTGCTTGCGCAGCTTGTTCTCCTCAATCTCCTCGAGGATCTTCTCCTTGTAGGGGAACAGGTTCGGGATACCCGGGTCCTTCTTGAGCTTGGTGCGCCATTCCGGGTTCTGCTTGGCCTTCTTTCTGTCTTTCCTCTGCTTCGCCGCCGACTTCTTCTCGATCTTGTGGCGGAGGCGAACCGTCGTCCTCTTGGACTTTGGCTCTGCGAGGATGCTGTTAGTCAAAAAGGGTATAACATAAAAGATATTGACAATAATTCAGGAGATACTCTCACATACTCTTGGGTTTGTTAATTGAGCCAGCCATCGTGATATCTGACCAAAGTGACTTTTGGCAAGATTTTTGTTGTATGGGGGTGAGCTTTGGTTGGTGCTTTGCTACCCTCGACCGCCGCAAAACTTTCCTGGCGCTTCGGCCAGTCTTTGCAGTGCAACTTTCAAAAATTTAGTGGGAGGTCGGGTTCTGCCAATCCACACCGCTTCTGCTATCGCTATCGCGCCCCACCAAGATATCCTCACCGCCTGACGCTAATCCCAATGAAGGAGCCCCGCCATGGGTAACTTTGCCCCGCGACAGCTGACATAAGAAAGAAAAAGCCGATGGGTAAAAAAAAAAAGGCGTGCTGGAACCGGTGGATCACAGACGCTCAGTGCTGCTGCGATGGCGCTGCCGCAGCGTCAGAGGGGCCCCTTCCGGTGGACAGAAATGCCCGTCTCAGTGTTTTTGGCCGCTGGAAAGATGCCGCAGCTCAAATAGCGGGCTGGTCAAAGGCGGATTACCAAGGTTGTCGTTGCCGACTCGGAACTTCAACGATCCTTTCAGAGTCATACCTCACTCAACTTCAACTCGTAATCTCAATTAGACTCTTGAATACAATAACTTTCTCTTCACTATTAATCTTAGACCACATTAAAAGACCATAACCATAGATCGAACACATAAAACGTTCATCTCTTCAGGTATACATTCACAACTCATTTCAGAGGGATAACCGCTTACCCTGTCTACCAGACTTAACCATGTCGTACACGGCCCCTCCACAACGCTTCACCTTTGATGGCTTCCTCTTCGACATGGACGGCACCATCATCGACTCAACAGAGGCCGTCGTGAAGCACTGGCACACGTAAGGAAACCAACAAACTCCACCGGTTCATCAGCATCATCATCACCAATCATCCCTTGCATGAGGGGTTACCCTCTCTCACTCATCTCATCTCTCAAAAACCCCACTAACACCGGCCTTCTCTTCTCCCTTGCAGCGTCGGCAACGAAATAGGAGTCGCGCCCGAAGTAATCCTCGAGACCTCGCACGGCCGTCGTAGCATCGACATCTTGAAGATTCTGGCCCCTGAAAAAGCAAATTGGGAGTGTGAGTACCTTACCTCTACACACCAAGAAAAAAATCTCAGATCTCTGTTTTGTCTGATCTCGCGTGTTTGGTACCTGTTCCTGATTCCGATTTCCCCCCTTGCCTTGCTTCACCTACCTAAACACGACTCACCGGCGCGCCGTCTGTCAGGTTTCCCCAACTTTTTTTCATGCATGCTCACCTACATGACGCAAGGGGGGGATGAGACGGTGATGAACTCAGGGGTTCGCGAAGAAAAGGCTAACAGGAGATGAACAGACACGCGTGAGATGGAAGGCCGCCTCCCGAAACTCTACGGGGGAGACGCCGTCGAGATCCCTGGGGCAAGGGCACTCCTCGACGCCCTCATCGCGAAGTCGGCTCCCTGGGCCATCGTCACCTCGGGGACTGAACCCCTTGTGGGCGGGTGGCTCGACGCGCTCAAGCTGCCGCAGCCTCAACACCTCGTCACCGCCGAGTCCGTCGAGAACGGTAAGCCGGACCCGACCTGCTACCGCATTGGCCGCGCGAAGCTGGGCCTGGAAGACGCTTCCAAGCAGGTGCTCGTCCTCGAGGATAGCCCCGCCGGCATCAGGGCCGGTAAGGAGGCTGGGTGTAAGGTGCTGGGCCTCGTCACGAGCCACACCGTTGAGCAGGTCGTGGACGCGGAACCCGATTGGATCGTCAGAGACCTCGATTCTGTCAAGGTCGTGGAGAGTCGCGACGGTGTCGTCACGCTGGAGTTTAGCGACGCCCTCGTTTCGAAGCCTTAGTGTAGTTGTCTACGACTGACTGACTACTCTGGCGTGAGGAATGGAGGCTCTGCTAATGAATCGATAGAGCAAGAATAGACTTGGCCTGTACAGACTTTAGTATGACAACATCGTACGCTTTTTACCGTTCCCTTGGCCCTTGGAGCCAAATAAGTCCTCGGAGCTCCATACAAGGGAGTAGAGGAGACAGAGGATGAACGGCAAAACCTATCAACCGGCCAGTGCGCGAGAAAGGGCAAATACAAACTAATCTTCTTTCCCCGCCGTTGTCTCGTCAAGGGAGCACTTGTTGGATTCAGATGCGAGATAGTTCTCGAAATGGAGTCCTCTTTCCCCCAAGCCTGAAGATCCCTAATAAGCTGTGTCGCGTGAGATCCGTGATGTTTATTTTGATCCGGGGCAGCAGCTCCAGTGCAACAACAAAACAAACATCATCATCCCTCTACCTTCACCGAAGGGGGGCGTGTGCCGAACCGAGTAGAGGTACCCCGAAGGACCCAAGACAATGTCTTTAGCCTTGGAGACAAAGTCCCGCCGTATGCCGTGTACTCGACATGTGCAACCCCAGGATCCAAGAATATCCTCCTTCAGCCGAGTCAGCCGAGTCCCTGACTTCAACTCGTCTGGCTGCCGCTGCATTGATTTCGCCTACAAACGCGGGAGTATTGAAGGGCCTTTCACAAAGTAGCTTGCGTCGACGATGATCCAGCTCAAGGTACAGGAAAAATCAAGCACACATTTGCAACACATCATCGTCTCGCCTCGTCATTGTCCCGGGTTCCTCGGGGCCCTACCCCCCAACTACGGGTGATTGCTGCGATCTCGCGACCTTGGAAGCGGGAGAAAGAAAAAAGCAACGTTAAGAAGTCTCAGCCCGGTCGATGCACCGCATCTGGATAGGCAAAAAGCAACCCGCAAAAGCCCGCGGTCGTTTCACGAAGAAGGAGCCCGTATACGAGAGAGTCTGAGAGAGCGAGCTTGCCGAGTGCATCCGGTACACTGGTCTCTCGTTGACCTATCTTGGTCTTTGCAGAGCTGAGCGGAGCGGTCCCGAGACCGTGGATGTGGCGTAACTTTGCATAACGAACAAACCCGCTGCGGTCTGAGGTATCACAATGGCAAACTACACCGGTCTATGACCACCTTTCGTAATTCGGAGCTGCAAGGTCCCGAAAGCACAAATATCACCTGTCAGCTTCGGAGCTTCATGCTGACGGACCTGGCTGCTTGCAGGGTGTGTGTGTGTGTGTGTGCGTATGTGTGTGTGTGTAGGTATGTGTGTACGCTCTGCTCTCTCAGGGCACCAACTTTAGACAAGCTTGCGAGGCGAATTAGAATTCGGCATCTTGCAGGCAACTTCGGAGATCTTCGTGCTTGAGCCGTGGGTGTGTCGCTCCAAGTAGTGAACATGTGTATCCCGTTGAGTGGAACAAGGTCGTCTATCAATACTCCTCGGGACGTGATACTTGGTGAAAAGGGGTAGCACAGCAGCGGAAGGATTCCTCCCTCCTCCTGACACAGCACAGTTGTAAGTGTCAATGCCTTGTTTGCTCATGGGCAAAGCAAGATTATCGGTGGCTGCAGGTACGATCAGCTACAGAAATAATCTGGCGGATGATGCCGAGACAGCTGTACACTCACTGTCTAGGCGAGGCAATGGCGACGAGTGTATTTTCGCCGGTACAGGAACCCAGGCGGGGTTTGTTTGCTGACAGCGCAGCCATCCACCAAGAAAAAAAAGCAGGCGGCCGACGATGTCATTCCGACATGTAACACAACGGACGCCAGCTTTTCGTATGGGCGAATGCAGGAACATTAAAGGCTAAGCCAACATAGGCTTCGCGCGCGAAAATGTCAATCTCAAAACCATCAGGTAGAGGGCTGATGTGGACAGCCTCCAGGCTTAGTATGATGTTAACTTTCGAACGGTCTTTGATGCTGCAGGTACACGAAGGGCCGGGTCGGTTGAGCTACATCTCCATATCGTTGAGGCGGCGCGCTAGCAGAACACCGGAAGGGATGACAGCAATCTCATTTTGAGCATAGTTGTCACCACGAGACAATTCATGAGGAGATTGAAACACGGAATACATCTCATGCCTCCCTGGGTAACGAATCCTTTGACGGTGACAGCTCCGAATGGCGTTGGAGCGCTCGAGTAGTGTAAGCTGGCGAGCGAAGGCCGCCGACCCGACGCAGGTCATCGGGCCGGCAGGCAAAACCGCGCGGCTGTCAAAGGAAAGGAAAAAAAAAGGGGGGGGGGGGGGGCTTCTGGTGTATGCTTCCCGGCGACGGCTTCTGTTTTCGCGCGTTTAGCATCCGGCATCCACCTGTCTTCAGAGCTCAAGAGAAAGGTTCCAAGGCTTCCAACACGATAGACGTCGTCCGGCAGTATCCGCATTGTTTGCACCGGTTCGGTACTCGGTAGCGGACTGAACAAGACTGACTCGAGGTGGCCATGTCGTGAGGCTGTGCTCAGTTTAGCGAGCGAGAAGGAAATTGTGTCGTCGCAGAGATGGGGTACTGTCCGTACAAGTAAAATGTGTGGAAACTAGAGCACGCACCAGCCCAGTCGAATGCAAGTGTTGTCTGCGTCGCACGCGTTCTCCACGGGTCCCTTTACTACGGCCGTGACGAGGACCCTTGGTCGAGTTTAATGAGAAGCATGGGCCTGCGGCTTGTGCGCATAACGAAGGGGGAAAAAATCCGGCATGCTGTCCCCGTGCCCCCATCATCCCATGCCTGGTTGTGAACTTGTGAAGGAACAAAAACGAGCCCTCGCAGACTCCTTGTCCTTGGCCCCCTCCACAGCGCAGGGGCAGGGCCGGCACCTCATCCATCTCGTCAGTCGTCACTGTCGGCACCGCACGTGGCCGCCAGGGCCCGATTTTGATCCCAATCTCCCGCTTGCCGCTGTTTCCACCTTGGACGTTGGAGCAAAAAAAAAAGTTGATCAGGATCTGGATCATGGATGCCACTATACACCTGTTGATTAACCAAGCCACTCTCTGCCTCGTATACTCCGTATTATCTAAGTACCTTATTATTAAAGAAAGTTAATTCTTTCTAAGTCATAAGTATAAGAATATAGTTTTAATAAAATAGTATAGTACTTACTTAGTACTTAAATTAAAATACTTTTTTAAGCTTATTATAAAAAAAAAATAACTATATTACTAACTACTTATTATCGAAGTTCGTAACTAGTATTATAGTTTTAATTATAATAGCTTTATTTATAATAAATAAAAAATCTAATTATAAATCCCTTAAAAACCTCTTTTTAAGAGCTATAAGAGCCTCTAAGTTAAGTTAAAATACTTATTAAGATATTAATAACTAAACTAACCTTACGATAATAATTTTAATAAAAAACTTAATAAATAACGCTAAAAGCCTCGCTAATATTAAGTATAATTTATAAAATATAATAACGTAGTTATAAAGTATTATTAATATATCCTATATTAAAAAGGGTATTATTAATACTAACGAAACGGATAGGGCCGTATTAATATAATACTTTAGCTTCTTTTTATAACTTAAAAATAATTACTTTAAATAATATTAGAAATTTATTAAAAAGCTCTCTTAAGTACTTTAGTATATTTATTACTATTTTTATAATAATAAAACTCCTAGTACTTATATATAAAAATAAGTTACTTATTTTTAAATAATAATATTAGCTTATTAATAAGTTATTAAAATTATAATTTTAATAATCCCTTAACGAGGGAGAGGGTAAAATAAAAAAAAGGATAGGTAATTTATAAAAAGGGTTAAGGTTAAATAGTGCGGAATTCGAGGGTAGGGTAGCGTCTATATATACTGTGGCAATCCTCTAGTAATGCAAAACGATGGAGTTAAACAGTGACTCCGTATCGTCATTGCATTTTAATAAACTCGAGTACTCGCAGCCACCAAAAATCGATTCTTGGGGGTTTTCTGCGGCGATGTTACCGCAAGAGGTCGTCTGTAACCACATCTCTCTTCCAGTGCCCGCTGTCCGGAGTCAAGGTTGGAGGGATACCGAACCCCTTTCTTGTGCATATCATGAAAGGGAAGAGAAAAAAAAAAGGCTTCATCTCCCGTGTGCATGTTGGAGCCATGCATGGCCATGACTCCTCTAGTCGTTGTGGAAGTCTTCCTGCACGCTATCTCAGTCGCTTGGCATTTTGTGTGTTGCGTGGGTGTTCCGTGGTGTTTGCTGGCGTCACGCCTTCGACACTGGCGTGAACCGCCGGCGTCTTCGATACTAGACTAGGCAATTGCGTCCTCTCTCGTTTCCCGTGTTCCAGAAGGTAGCTTTCCAATGCCGGCTCGGTAGCATATGGTGGGCATCTGTCGTCCAAATTTCCTGCGTTGGACGATTGGAAGCTTGAGCGATGGCGAGCCGATTGATCGTACTCCGCAAGTTAGTCGCTCTCCGCGAACACCTTGAACTTCATCCACGGCGTCGGGTTCTTCGTCCTTGCAGGGAGACACTAAAATAGAAGTGGTTACACTCGGAACTCATCCAGTCCACATGGTACTCCGTATGTCTTCCTTGCCGAATATCATCTCCGGGGGAGGGTTCGTCAAATCGTCAGAGTGGAACGACGGGTAGATGTCTGACGAGCAGATTACATCGACATCTCGAGGCGCAGCCTGATCCAGTATGGCGTTTGAGAGCCGCCGGGAGAAGTACCTACTTCGGCAAACCATCAACAAGTTCGAACAGGGGAGGAAGAAAGAGGTTTACCGATAAAGTACGTATATTGCACAGAGCTTACATAGTATGCTGAGAAAGAGACTTGTGCAACAGGCGTCGGTGAAAAAACGGTGAGATGATCAATCCGGCATCGTAATACAATACCCTCGCTTCGCCGCTCATCGGCCTGTCGTTGTCTGTTCGAGCTCCTCTAGCCGGTGATACTGATCCGGTCCATCTTCGCTTGGCAATTCGACGTGAAGACATTGGCATCAGCAAGTCTTTCCGAGCCAGCGAACAAGGATTGGATTTTCAGATCGCTCTAGCCATAGCGCAACGTCAGGAGAGCACTGCTTCGCAGTACTCCGTAGAGGCTAGAGTTACTCGTCAAACGCCGACGTGATGCGTGATAAGCGTGTTGTAGCAAAGACTAAGACTGACAGTCGTAGGCCGCCCAATCGGCACGGACAAAGGTGCCAAGTATCTGGGACGAAGTGAGACAACGTCTTCTTTCCGCTTTGCTAGCTTTACAAGCGTTCCGCTCTCCAGGAAACGCCATACACCGTTCGGCGCCGTTGTCCTCATGTCCCGCCTTGCCCCGAAGACCGCTGAAAAGCGGCGTGTCTGATGAATTCGCGCGACGTCGTAGACTGACCTTGCCCTTTGCCCAAAGGGTGACATGTCGACGAATCGTTCTGGGCCCCCAGCCCTTCGCAGGGCCATGCATCGCTTGGTACTGAAGGCGAATCAATCGAATCGACCCTGCTGAAAAGGCTTTGTTGAGGGCATGAAATTCCGCCTCCAATCGCTGCACCTGCGTTGCCTTGCTTGCTGTCGTCCACTGCCGCCAATCGCATCTCGTGAATTCCAGCCTCCGCCCTCCAACGGGACTCAGGTGCAGCATTGGCTAGACATCAAGGACAGCCAACGATGTCTTGGGGCTAGGTAGTACTCCGTAGAGGGTCCACCTTAAAGAATCGCGAAGCGGCTTCAGTGGTGAGGTTACAACGCTCACGGATGAGCGATGGTCCGGAGACGCCCCCACACCACAGTCTAGCTAGGTGTGCTGCTGCGTGTATGTTCTGGTCCTGTGTCGCAGTGCATCCCGTCTTCCGCACTTCACTGTGTGCACGATCTAGGCCCAGTGAGACCGAGATCGCGGAAGAAGTTCTTGATGAGAGTGTGGCCTGGAACGTCCAAGTTGTCAAGCATGACAAGGCGAATTGTGTGACTTTTGGTCTTTGCTGTCTGCTGGCTTGGCACGGTTGGCGGCCCGAATGAATCCAATTCGCCCGCATCGAATCTGTGCATGATTTGACGGGGGTGCGGACCAGCTGAATCGTATCCAACTATCTTCCGTTTGACTTGTAATGACTGCCTCGGTCCCAAACTTTGGTAATGTAGGCGTCGTACGCAGTTTTCCTGTGAAAAGACAGGGTGAAGAGTGAAGGCGACGATGCCTTGGTGATTGCCATAGACGAGTTCCAGAGATCGACAGAAAGAGGCGCCGCGCCTCTCCGGGGAACTTTACTCCCGGACAGTGTCAAACTGTATCGAGCAAGAGATGAACGCCCAATCAGCCATCCAAGATTCCTAGCTGATCGCCATACACGACATCATGGCGAACATGTCCCGGGATAGTGAGCCAAGATAGTTGGGCAGCGTAGGCTGAAGTGGGCGAAAGGTGGGCTGAAGCCCGATCGCACTTGACAATCTGCGCAATGACGGCGACATTTCCAGTGTAGCTGATGTTCGTGGCCTCGTTTCCTGACATGACGATGTGAGAAGATGCTGCGTTGTGATGTGCGCGTACTGCATAACTGATCCCCAGGACGATTGTTTCTAGGCAAGGGGGTCCTATAACATGCACATCTTAAGAAAATCCCACGAACGAGGCCTGTGGCGGGCCCAGGTTTGCGCGCCTCGTTTTACTTAGCACTGTCACCCAGTGGAAAGCGGCCAACCGCACGTCTGCGCTCTAGTACTTGGTCTGGGATGCCTGGGATCAGCCGCTTTTTGGATAGATGCTTGGAAAGCGCGATGTGACTTCAGATTGCGCCGTCTGGGCTGTCAGTGAAGGAAATCGTAGTATCTCGGTCAGGCTGAATATCCATGCTCGGTATTGGAATTCATGGTAACGGAGGTTTCCGAAGGCAACTCCTGGATCAAGTCCACATTGCTTTCGAGTGACCACGAAGCTTGGTGAGTGGCCTTGACATCGTTGTACACATTTGTGTGTCCCCAGCACACAAATTCCGTGAGCATCGCAGACTTCTCTTTCCCATATTGCGAGTCCAGTTTCATGAATAGCAGCTCGCGTGTCTTTGTTGTTTGCACCCCTGCAGCGGTGCTGTGGCGGTGTCGGCTCAAGTGATGACCCATCCATTGCTGTCGAGCAATCTAGAAAAAGGGTCGCTGCCCAGAACGTGGATATGTCCCCAGTGTCTGGTTTGAGACCCGAATCGAACCACCAATTGTCAAGGGACCATGACTTTTCGATGAGAAATGAAACCCGGCTAGCTTCAGACCAAAGGCGCGGAAATCTTCGAGGGAAAACTTCCCGTAGCGTAAAGACGCTACATCTGAATGTGGAATGAAAGCCGTTGCCCGCTCCCCCGGCCTCGCTGGCTGGCCCTTCGATCTCACGGCCTTGTCCGGGCTACTGCTGGCTGAGGATCGACGGCGAGGGACCCCCATGGCGATTGCTTCAACTGTGCACAAGAGACGCCATTTACGTTCCCAAAGGCTTGGTACGTTATGTGACTGTGTAGTTGGGAAGTCTTTGTGCCATTCCTAGATGTATATTTGTCCTCTGCTGCAACGGCGCCGTGATGGAACCACACCTGACCATGCATGCTCCTGTTCGCCTCGTACGGCCGAGAGTATCATTTTTTTTTTTGAACAAGCCAGCAGCCCAAGTATTCTGTAGGTAAAAATCATGCGAAGGAGGAGCTGAAGCTGCAAGTCTACATCCGTTGGCTAATTTTTCAGCCCGTGTCGCTCTCTGACCAGCGCAAGGACATGGATCAATCGGTCGTTGTGTATCTGACGACAGACGGCAGATATAGAAGAGCGTCCAATGTGTGCATCCGGCGGTACGCCTAGTTCGCGGGGAAGAAGAAAAGTGTTCCGCTGCAGGTCAAGACAAGTCAGATACAGTGTGATAAGTAAGTATTCGTACAACGGGCTCCGACCACAATACGCGAGCAGTACTCCGTACATACTCCGTACATGGTCCGTACCTCGTAGGAGGCAACAAGGCCAGGTTGGGTTAACGCCGAAAACGCGGTACACCGCACGACGATTTCCCTCCATGTTACTCCGTAGTTGATGGGCCGATGTCTCCTTGACCCGTACGAATACAGCATGGGTGCATGGATGTCAGTTCTACAGACCGCGGAGCGTCCTTGCCCTGTCTTTCGGAGTTCTGATGGGCCCACCCACAAATGCAGTCGCAGCAGTCCAGTTCTCGAGAGAAACGACGGGTTGTGGCAGACAGTACGAAAGCCGAACAAGTGATGATTGTGTATCCATAACCAGCATAGGTATTATAAGCTATGTACGGATACCGCACACAGATCTGACGTGGAGAACTATGTGTGCCTGCCGGTGACAGTTGCTTTGGCCAGAGGGCCACATCAGTGCATCGCGTCTCCTTTGTTGTGCAGCAGCGGTACACCAGTGACTACCAGTTGAAAATCAACAGCGTTGAGAGTGAGTTGTCTCTCCTCCTTTGGATCTCGGCCAAAAAAGGAATAGGCTTGCGGCTCGCCCATTGTTAACTTGTCAAGGTTCGGCGACCTGGCGAACCAACGCGTTGCCGAGTGAGACGAGCGGAAAACGGGTGGGGAGCACATTGTACTAGCCTGCGGGAGCAGCGGCTGGTACCTGGAGTAAGGGAACCGGCGTCTGCCCTGGGCGTCTTCGGCCACATGTCTGGGCTGTTTGATGTCCTGTAAGGATGAAGACGGTGACGCCTGGTGGTGATGAAGTTGCCCCTTTGGTACTGGTAGTTTTCCGGCAGCGGAGGAGGTGGTGATCCTCGCAGGCAGGCCAACCCAAAGTAACTGTCAGTGTTCCTCTTTTCGAGGTTGGCGATGCGGCAGCTGCAGTGGCTGCCCAAGACTTGCATCGCAGCGTTGCGTTTTGGGAGTCGCTGAGCAGAATCGGGAAAGCGTGGGACAGCGAGGCACCCCACCATCCTGTCAGTTGATCACAGCGAGCGACGTGCTGCGAGACTGCAAAAGCCTCCAATCCCCGGTAAGCCCAAGAGGGAAGAAAAAAAAACCGACGCGATTTTGGCGTCGTTGAGCTGCGTTAGCGCGGCCGGGCTCAAGGGGCAGGCGACAGCAAAACGACAGGGGCCGCTTGCACCCACGAATCGCAGCGGCCTATTCTGGCAGTCTGACCGGGGCAGATGTCGGAAAGGGTCAGTAAAGAGGAGGGCCCCAAAGCAAATCGTCCCAATTCATCGCCGTCTCTGCTCTCCTTTTGTCCAGGCCCGGCCTTGGAGCAGCAAAAGGCAGACAAAAGCGACAGTCGGTCTGCGCAGCGGCGGGCCTCAGAGGCCGGGAATGGTCGCAATGGTTGCTCCATTTGTCGCGTGGCAGCATGGGCAGTCCTGTATCCTCACAGCAAGCAGGCTGCTGAGAGCAAGCAAGAGAGAGGCACGACTGACGATGACTGCCGTCTGCTCTGACGATTGCGCAGGAGGCACCCTCCAGGCGCCCCGGGTGAGATATGCACCAGCGGTGCTCAGGTTCGGACGGATGTGATTAAATGGGCTCGGATTGGACAGGATGGGCTGGCAGGCTGGCCAAACCAGGTTGGGACGGCAAAAGATGATTGCTCAGTTGGCCAGATATGGTTGGTGAATTCTGATCCGGTGTCGTGGTTTTGCTTTGGTGCTTTGGGTGCCGTCGTAACGCGGGCGGGAAGTGGACGGCTGTGTGGACGCGGACTGAGGTCGCAGTGGCGCACCGGGCATGTGTTGTTGTGACATGGCTCTAGTCAGTACCGTTCCTGGCGATCGGTGGTAGCCCGTCCATGTCGACCTTGGACCAAGATGTCGACAATGTTGGCGGCTGGCACCCGACTGAGACCTGCGATTGTCCTGCAGGCTGCCTGACCAGTGTGTTTGTACTCTGCATATCCAAGGCAGATGGGGATTTGCAATAACCCGAGACAGAGAGCGACGTAGTTATCCACTATCGCAGGCTTTCAGAGCAAAACCGCAAACCAAGCGCGAGCTCGTGGGGGAGGCCAAGGATAGGTAGAGCCGGATACCACAAAGCCGCCATTTGCGGCGTAGAAGAAGAAAGTAGGCTGTCGATCCGTGTGGGTAGAGGGGGGCAGCGGCTGTGGCAGCAAGGATTGAGTGATGGTGAGGCTGCTCGGATTGCTGAATAGGCAGTCCGTCTGTAGGTCGTGAGAGGGCTAAAAAGCCGACTTGGGTGGTTCATTTTGCAGAAATGACGATGGCAAAGTGACGTGACGGCCCAAGCTCAAGAGGAACGAGGTGGACCGGGACGGGCTACCAAACTCGAACGCATGAAGTTGTCATCGAAACTCGAGGGAGCAAAGAACTGTCAAAGAGCGCTATCATGGCGTGTGTCCGTAGGGTAAAGGTGTAGGTATCCCGTAGTCTGTATCTTGGGCTGGCATCCCATCTGTTCAGAAAGGTGCAGGGTTGGTGGTTCTTGAAGTGCCGTGCTGCGGGTTGTGGTGTAAGCACCTTCTGAAGCTGAAAGGCGACTGCAAGGTATCCGTATCCGAAGGGGAAAAGGTAGGTGTTAGCCCGCAGCTTCCATTCCTTTCAGATTGTCGATTTCCATGTTGGGACCGCGAAATGCAGCGGAAAAGCCAGTCACGGCAAGTGTACCTTGATAAGTTCAACCTGCCACACTTTCTTCAGTGGGGCCGCAACTTTGCGGCAAATGCACCTGAACCTTGCCGTCGACGTTCCTCTGGAAGGGATTCCCTTTCTCTAGACTCCCAGCTTGCACTTTGTAGTGTTGCACAGGCTTCCGGGGAGCTCAGCACGAGATGCGTCGACGAGTCCGTGTGTTTTTTTTCTGCTTCCGTGGCTCGGGCAAGGTAGGCCGCTGGCACAGCTGAGCTGAACCGGAGCCAGACAAATCCAACAAGACGAGGCCATAGCAGGCGCGTGTTCTCGTGTCATGTCGTATGGGATGATGATGAATCTCGATCTTGTGGGTTATTGATGGATCCTATGCGTCCCTTGATGTAAGTCTCCTCTCTCCCTCAGTTTTGTTTCCCCCTTGGAATCGGAGCGAGG